ATCAGATTTCAGACAGCCAGTCTTCATTAATGAAAACAGCTGTTTTAGAGAAATGTAGCTTGGAGACTTTGTTTGTTAGTCATGTGAAATTGTGTCACAAATCTTTACAGGAAAATATGGGGCTAGCATTGAACCACTGAACTATTTTGAGCAACAGCAATGATTATTACAGCAAGACCAAAACAGCACAGCAGTCACAGACAGGGCTGTTATTATGTCTGTTAGACGTCTAATTTTCCACAGTAATCTTTTAACACAAACACTGATTAACGCTCTTTCAGTTCAGGTTCAGATGCAAATGTATAATCTTACAGAGTGACAGACATATTGCACAAACTCTTGATCTTCATAGTTACATGAATATGAAATAATTAAAAACATACCATGATTTTAGGTATAGCATGCATATATATTAACCCTTCATGGATGAACAGTACTGTTCATTTTGGGGATTTTTTAATGTTTTTGAAAGTCTCTTATTCTCACCAAAGTTGCATTTATTTGATCAAAAATACAGTAAAAATTTGAAAAAAATATTACAATGTAAATGAACTGTTTTCTATTTTAATAGATTTAAAAATGTAATTTATTCCTGAATTGGCAAATCTGGATTTTCAGCAGCCATTAATCCAGTGTCACACGATCCTTCAGAAATCAGTCTAATATGCTGATTTTGCACTCAAGAAACATTTATTATTATTATTATTATTATTATCAATGTTGGAAACAATTGAGCTGCTTAATCTTTTGTGGGAACCATGATATTTTTCAGGATCCTTTGAAAAATAGAAGGTTCAAAAGAATAGCATTTATTTGAAATAGGAATCGTTAGTAACATAAATGTCTTTACTGTCACTTTCGATTAAATTGCTGAATAATTACGTGAAATAAATAAATACATTCATTTATATAAAATAAAATAAAATCTTTCTGACCCCAACTTTTTGAATGATAGTGACTAAACAAACCACTACTTAAATTGGGAACACTTGAGATTGGGGAACATATTTTCACTATTAAATTTTCCATCAATGAACTCATAATTTGCTGCTTATTGATAGCAAGTACGATAGTTGTTGTAGTAGTAGTTATGTTTAGTTATTGGGTAGGGTTAAGGGACCTAGAATATGGTCTTACAGAATAAGGCATTAATTTGTGCTTTATAAGTACTGATAAACAGTCAACATGCTAGTAGGATGCCTGCTAATAAGAAACTAGTTAATAGAGAACAGTGTTCCCTAATCTAGTGTTACCCTTAAATCAAATGGTATACTTACCTCAGTGCTGAAAAAATATGAGTTCCTTAACATTCACACAGAAATGTACATAATTACAGTCCATGATAGTCGCAGAAACGCAACAGCCAAATTCACTGCTCCTGACTGACTCAACTAATCTGATTGCCTTAATCTGCAGGGTTAACATTGGCATCAGCAAAGCCCTCCAGTCTGACATGGCTACTGTTTATTTACGTACATGTGGGAGATTGGCAAGGCATTACGGGATATTGAGGATGCATGTTGTTATATTATGTATTCTGGACATTTAGAGCTTGTGTGTTATATTTGATGTGTTCTGTTTGTGTGTTTGTTGGATGAGTCAGAGCTGAGCAGCTCAGTGCTGGAGCTCAGGTGACGTGGCTAATTAGGGATGAGGAGGGACAGAGCCTGTCATGGACAGTTTCAGCCAAACAGATCCACAGGGAGGGAGGACATTAGGCAAGAACGCCCTCTGCAATCAGGACACTGAATGGAAAGTGTGGCCTCCCCCTGAAATAACCTCTGACATGAAGTATTGAACATGCTCACCTGATTACATCATTATAAATGGTATTTAAATGTACTCATTTTAATCAGTAGTGCTTGCTAAGGCAGGAATCTGTTACTGTAATTTTTTTTTTTTTTTAGGTTTTAAAGGGATAGTTCACCCAAAAATTACAATTCTGTCATTAATTACTCACCCTCATGTCGTTCCAAACCCGTAAGACTTTTGTTCATCTTCGGAACACAAATGAAAATATTTTTGATGAAATCTGAGAGCTTTCTGACCCTGCGTAGACAGCAAGGGAACTACCATGTTCAAGGCCCAGAAAGGTAGAAAGGACATCGTTAAAATAGTCCATGTGACATCCGTAGTTCAACCTTAATTTTATGAAGCTACGAGAATACTTTTTGTGCGCAAAGAAAACAAAACTCATGTTCTGATGTAGAACACAGATGTGCTGCACCTTGTTTACAAGCAGAGCAATGCACACGCATTGTGTTGCTGTCTATGCAGGGTCAGAAAGCTCTCAGATTTCATCAAAAATATCTTCATTTGTGTTCCAAAGATGAACGAAGGTCTTACGGGTTTGAAACGACATGAGGGTGAGTAATTAATGACAGAATTTTAAACATTTAAACATAATTCTACCACACTGTTTGGCTCAAAATGTGCATATTTTTTATTTTTTAAAAGAGGTGTGCTATTACTTATAGTGATCAAATATGCACTTTTTACCTGGAAGATAAAAAATGGGAAAGGAAATCATGGTGCAGAAGTCATTTTAGTATAATTTCTATACTATTTATTAATATTCTGAATGAGCTTTTATTTTTATATTTTCAGATATCATTTACATTTTTGTTTACATCTTAGTAATTGTGTAGTGTTTTTATATTTCTATATCTTTTAAACAAATAAAATATTAAACTAATATTACTATTACTTTATTAACATTACTATTGACCTTTAAATAAATTTGTTTCAGCTTTAGTCCTTTTTTATTTCAGTAACTTTCTTTACATTTTTCTTAATTCGTTTTTCATCTAATCTTTATATTTTATTTCAGCTGCATTTTAATGAATGCAAACAATTTATAATAGTTTTAGTTTGTTAACAATAACAAAACTGGGAGGGACACTATGGTGACAACAATATCATACATACTTTTTTTTTTATTTGTCCCAGAAATAAACCACCTAGCAACCACCAAAAAACCTAGCCACAGAATAGCAACATGCTAGCAAGCACTTCAAACACCTTAGAGACAACATTTTGTCTTAAAGGGGTCATATGATGTGATTTCAATTTTTCCTTTCTCTTTGAAGTGTTACAAGCTCTTGGTGCATAAAGAAGATCTGTAAAGTTGCAAAGACTAAAGTCTCAAATCCAAAGAGATATTCTTTATAAAAGTTAAGAGTCAACCACGCCTACCTAAAACGGCTTGTTCTAACACGCCCCCACATGTCTACATCACGATGTGGGAAGATTTGCATAATGCCACGAAAAAATGTTCACGCAAAGAAAGAAGGCATGAGTTTTATTCTCTCTGTAGTATTGTTGCTGCCACCATGTCGTGAAGACGCTGTGTGTTTGGTCTTCCAAAAGAGGACGATATCCGCTTCGTCATGCCTAGAGCTGATCCATGCTGGTCGCTGAGGAAATACATCAACTTCGCGCTGTGGAGCGCCGGATCGGCTTTCACTGTGAACGAAGCGGAGTCCAGCCCGGGGTCATCACATGTGGTTGCCGCAAGCCCGCCGGCCATTCCTTCTTCGAATCCGCCGGCCGCCGCTCACTCTATCCCTCCGCCCTCCACTCATTCAAGGCCGCCGTGTGTGACACTGTGTGTTTCATTGTGAAAGCGAAACTACTTTGTTTGGCCTGACAAAAGAGGACACGACTAGAAATCAGTGGTTAAGTTGTATTTACAACACTGTTCCAGAACAGTTCAACCCAAATATTCAGATGTGTGCAGCACATTTTATGGAGGACTGTTTCCTGATCGTGGTAGAGTAGACTACAATGCCGGCTGTTCTGACTCACAGACTGTAAGTATGTGTTTTATGTATAAAGAATTTGCCACTGATGATTCAAACGAGTTTTGAGCAGTGTAGAATAGCGCATGTTGTTTGTCATTTCTCCGATCACAAATGCAAACATGGTTTTATGTTTACGCGGCACGATGCAACATGTAAAAAAGACAATATAAGACATTATAATCCGTAATTGTGTCCCAACTGGATGCAACAAATGCCTCGTTTATAATGGGTTTTAATGTTTTTTGTCTCGTCGCTCCGGCGGGACAGGGCATCACAGTATGGTGAGGGGCGTAACATTTCTGTCACACGCTTGAGGTATTCGGCCAATCACAACGCACTGGATAGCTGGCCAATCAGAGCACACCTCCCTTTTCAGACCGATGAGCTTTGTAAAAATCGATGCGTTTCAGAAAGGCGGGGCATAGAGGAGAAACAATAATGTACAGTATGTGGAAAATAATGTGTTTTTTTAACTTTAAACCGCATAAACACATTTCATTACACCAAATACACAAAATAATGTTCTTTTTAGCAATATCGTATGACCCCTTTAATCCACATGTACATGCGAAAAGACAAAACATAAAAGAAAAAAAAGAGCAGAAAATAGTTTTAACTAAATATTTAATCTGCAAAAATTTTGCTTGTCTTCAAGAATTGTTGGTATAGATGTACGCTTATGGCAGCAGGTTATGTGTAAACAAATGCTTATACAGTATAACTCTGAAATAAAACAGAAACAGATGCGCCTACACAGCCTAAAACACACATAAGCAGGAGTGTTTCCAAGAGACAAGCTATAAAACAAATATATCAGCCGGCAGCAACTGTATTACATCATGCGAGGGCAGTGATCATGCAGTGCCACAGCACTGAATGCATGTTAAACAGTTAGACTTAGCATGTGCATCAAAATGAGCAATGGGCATAAATTTACAGACAATACTATACACATTCCTGTTGAGTTTATACAATTATTACACAGAACTTTTAACTTTAATAACATTAATATAGCTGCTTATTTACTGATATAGAAGTGTCTCTTGAAACCTCATCTTATCACAGTGAAGGAGATAATAAGAATAAGACACATTTGGCATGAACGTTCAGAAACAATATCCGAAAAGAACATAAAAGAGTGCTCACTTATGGATAAGCGAATGTCACAAATGTTTTGGACCTCTGCTGATATTTCTGGCTCAAACAGTAGTTTAAAGAGACATTAACAAACAGCTATCCAGAAAATTTCATGGAGATGTTTCACCTCTCTCCTAATATGTTTGCCCTTTCTCAAAGGGATATTAAAACTACTTTCATATATACAGTATGGCACAAAAAAAGACAGCTTACATACAAATACATACATATAAAGCCGTAGACGGATCTACTAGACTGTGGAGGAATGTGGAGGAATCAGTCACTTTCTGAGTGTCACATATAGGATACTATACCAAGCGTGATAAAATTCACAACAGATCCATTCAGGAGGGAATTTTTATATATTTTTTTTAAACAAAATGGGCCTCTCTTTGCTCTAGCTCCTGCATATGGCGATTGCGCCTCTGATAGAGGGGTTTGGAGTCGGTAGGGCTGAGCTCCTCTGCACTGGAGCTTGGAGACTGAGGCGGAGAGAGAGTGACGGGGCTGATTGAGTCGCTCTCTGACGGCCCTTCCTCTGCTCCTCCTGTAAAAGTCTGCTTGGCCGTTAGAGCGATAGTCACTGATGTTGTTGGTGTGGTTGGGGGAGTCGTGACTGCTGTGGAGACTGCCGTAACTGTTGATGTGGCCGCTGTTGTAAATATGGTAATGGCTGTTGTGTATACAGCTCCTGTGGTAGTGGTTGTTGCTGTCGAAACGGTTTTTGCCAGCGAGTCAAATGTCTTGATTTGGCTTACTGATGGAGGCCTATAGAACGTTCCAGGAGGGGGTTTTAGTGTCCGTGGCGCTCGGAAGGATATTGGAGCCCCTCCGGACTGGCTTGGAGCATCTTTTCTATTGCCGCTGCTTTGGGGTACAACGCTAATCTCTGCCGGTTTTGGCACACCAGAGGATGGCAGGTTGGCCACTATCATTGCAGTTCTGGGCGTTACATCATAATGCCTGTACTGTCTGTCCCAGGTCCTCCTCAGCGTCTGAGTGTCGATGAATGGGTTCCTGTAGTAGCTGGTGAGGCGTGGTGTTGAAGGCTTCTCCGGTTCGGTGGTCTCCTGAATGGCGGCCGGCGAGTGTTCACGCTCCTCTGTGTTGCGACTGTTGCGCTCGTTGAGCAGTCTCTCCACAGGCATGCTGATGGGTCGAGACACTGGCTTGGAGCGCTGAGGACGTAGTTGCACCCCTAGGCTGCTGGCACTCGGCTGGCTGAACACAGATGTGGATTTCTGCATGTCCACAGGAGCTGAGCCAACCCCATTGACATCTGAGCCCTCACCTGCTGAAGAGAAAAATACTTTTTAATTTAATTTATTTTAATTATTAACTCAAAAGAGACATCAAAAAATGACTCTCAATAACCTAATGCATTCAAAATATGCATAGTTTTTTTGCATATCCAGGTCAGTTTTGACCCAGTGGAACAAAACCTTATAAAACAGTCAAAACTTTAAAAAAAAAAAAATTCAAAACTTTATTACTACATTACACATTTTTATTAATTACAAAAATTCAGAAGTTCTTTGAAATTTATAATTTGACATAAACTACAGAAAAAACACTGATACAAGAAAATCTTTATACGAAATTTATAAGAACATATCATCTGAGAATTACCACAGAGGCTTAAGCCTAGTCCCAGACTAAAATGCATGTCTGTTATGTTCTAGGGATGTTCATTTTAACCGGTTAACCGTTAACCGACCGTAAGAATTTTTGACCGATTAATACAATCAGTTAAACGATTTAAAAAGTCATTTATTTATTAATTTATTTCAGTAATGTATCAAAATATTTAAAAAAGTTTGCTGCATGGTTAAAATACGCTACGCGTATATAAAAAAAATTGCGTTTTTTAGAAAAAAACCAAGCCGCGTTTTATTATTTAATTCAGAAAAAGGTCTAATGCCAACACAAAATGTTTACAAACATTATAATAAACACTGTAAACATAGCTAGTAGGGATGTGACGAGATCTCATGGTACGAGATCTTGCGAGATCCGATGCGTCTCGCGAGAACGTGACGATATCCTCGCAAAACAATTTGCAGTGTTTACATTAGAGCTGCACGATTAATTGTTTAAAGATCGCGATCTCGATTCAGACACCCACGCAATCTTATTCCTGAATGACAATGATTCAGCTATGTCTATTAGATCGTGAGCGTCAGTGGAGCGTGAGAAGCATGTTTTGTAGCTGCCCATGTTAATAAATCATTCATGCTGCTGCTGATCCAAAAAGAGCAACACAAACAATCTTTTCAACCACCCATCATTATTTCTGTGTTACAGACTTTTAAATAACATAAGTTCTGGGACAAAAGTTTATAGTTTGGGTATAAACACTTATTCTCTACAGTAGCGATCAAAATGAAAGTATCGTAATATGCGTATGTATTGTAACGCTTATACTCTTCCTCCAGGAGGTGGCGACAACTGCCCGTTTAAAAAAAGTATTTGTCATTGAATCATTCGTTCAGGAGATTCCAATTGTGAAACAGGTCTTTATGAATTGAGACACTGACTCCTTCATTTAATTTTTTTTTTACATTTTGTTTAAATGAATATATATATAAAAAAAAAAGACTTAAGCAATGAACACTTTGTCAGAACCACTAGTACATTATGTTATTTTGTTTAGTTTTCTAATCTTTTTTTCTTCAGAATCGTGAGAGAATCGTGATCGCCAATTTATACACAAAAAAAACATGCTTCTCAATTTATCCAAAATCATGCAGCTCTAGTTTACATGTTGTTTATATGCTGCATATAATTAATTAAAATAGAAGTTTAATTTCAAAAAGTACAAGTTGATTTCAAAATGCACCTACATTTTTTGCATTTTGTGTTTTTCAGTTTAATAAAGACTATTTCCCCCTATATATTTCATCATTGAGGATTTCTTTAAAAAGTCTAAAAATCTCGTCTCGTTCTCGTGAACCCAGTCTCGTGTCTCGTCTCGTGGGATAACTGTCTCGTCACACCCCTAATAGCTAGGCTATTTTAGTTCCCCTCACTCCACAACAAATCCTTTCAATTAACAGTATTTTGAAAAGAAGAAGAATTAAAAATATAAGAAGCTATAAACAACAAGCCAAAACTAATTCATTTAGGCTAAAACGAAACTGAAACCAACGTTGGGTCTCTCATTCGACACAAAATCAAATGTTTCCGTATTCGCAATGTATTTGAATGGCAAATTATTATTTATTATGTAGCCTA